CTCTCTCTCTCTCTCTCTCTCTCTCTCTCTCTCTCTCTCTCTCTCTCGCCACTCTGCCACGGCAATGATAACACAGATAACTGAACAAGTTTGCCCTCTGATGCAATGCTTCAGGCACACACATCAAATGGACTTTCTTTTTGAACGGCCGTCACTGTTGTACTGCGCATTTGATGAGCAGAGTGACGCCAAAGTTCTGACACCAAAACATTGAGTCAGAAAGCTCTTCCACAGCTACTCAAACAGACGCTTTTTATTTACAAAGGCATTTCCATTGATACCTTTTCAATGCCCACAAAAACTATTTTGGAACAAAGACTTTCAAGATTGCTCATCTATCAGTTTCGATTTATTTTTTGCCATAAAATTAGGTAGTTTTTACCGAAATGACCACTGCGCTTCGAGGAAGCGTTCTGTGATTTTACAGACAATCTGAGAGCAGTGTATTGTTGTTGGTGCTGCACACACACTGACCTTGCTCACTTCCTCATTACCATCTGTCGCCCATTTGACGCCCTTTGGCCTTTAGTGGCTTTTTGGCTTGATAGGTCAGTGGATGCAAACGCGTACTGGCATCCACACTAGAGGATCGTAAACTTGTGTTACACCCTGCAGTGTACACACTGCTCACAAGATCCGACCGCTGGTTGATAGTACTCTCTGCCTACGTCACAGAAGACACGCCACAACAATGGCCAGCACATGCGTTTCAGCTTTGTTTATGTCTGCAGATGGACGCTTCCATGAGGGTGCAGGACACCTGCAGGGGGAACTCACTCTGCTTAGCGTGCACTCTCGTTGCTGCTGCTGCTGCATTCTTGAGAATGGTCCATTTGGAGGTGAGCAGTGCCACGTAGAGGAAAGTGTATCACCACTCGGGTGCTCATCATACTGGTGCTCATCACGGCGAAATCACTTCCCTGTGGCACTACTGCTGCTGACTGTGATGGTGATGACCACTATCGTCTCAGTGGTGGGCAATCGTCGCACGATTGAGAGAGACACACAGGCGAGGTAGAACACTACAGCACCGCCACCACTGCAACAGCATCAGGAAAGTAGAAGTGATTGTGTTGCCGATGTGACTAACTCTGAAACTGTGGTACGGCGAAAACTGAGAAAAAGAAGAAGAAAAGAGTGTGCACAATGTGATTGAGCAAGAAGGTGCACCACGAAAAAAGATGAAATAACTAAGCAACGGTGGAAGGCGACTGAAGAATAGCTCACTACTACTACTACTGCTAGATGTGAAGGTCATCCGCTTCCATGGCTCCACCACGGGAGAGCAAAATACTGGCCAGTGGCCACATGCGTAGGCTTGGACGGCAATATCGCGAAAACTGCAATGCATCACAAATGCTGGACTGGCACGTGATGTGACAGGTGCTGCGGAAAGTCGTACTAAGCGACCCTGAGCAGAACTGATTCATTGTACTGATTGATTTTCAGGAATACAAGAGAATTACCTGTTGGTAGTTGTGAACTGTGCAGCCTGGCAGTATGTTTGCCACTTTTGTCACAGTTGTTGATTTGTCATCTCTTCTTCAAAGAAAAGCAATGCCTTTATATGGACATCTCAAATGAGCTTACTTTCTTGGAGGGCATTTGCTCATCCCAGGGCTGCTTCTGCTTTTAGCCACCTTATTTGACTTAACCTAAAAAAGATTACTTCTAAAGAGTGTGTTTAATTGTAATTGGTAGCGCTTACTTGTACAGGCAGTTTATTTAAAAGACACTGTCGCTGCACTTTCGGTTGACTGCGCCAACTTCCGTAGCCCTGGTATCACTTTGCTCGAATGAATTGCCTTGAAACTCCTTTTTTCAACCTGAGAACAGTGTACAGACTCTGCCTGACTCATTCATAGCTGCAATTACTGGCGATATTGATCTCTTTTCCTGTTTGCTGCACCACTGTCATTTGTCGGACTTTGAACTTACACCAACACTGTCATCTGACTCAAATGGCAGTGATCGTACACATCTGACAGCCTTCTTCTCTTTTGTACTGTACTCAAGCTGAGCTGCTGTTTATTGCAATCAACAGTTTGACAACCATCAGTCACTTCTTTCCAATGCTACACAACACACCAATACGGCAAAAGGTCAAACACTGCCACCAGTTATCTTCTAAGCCTTTCACTTTCGCTCTAACACGCACATACAGCCACCTCTGAGACAATGAAAGACGGCACAGTGAAGGACTCATTTTAACTTAGTAGTAGCGGTAATACACTACAGCTGTCTTGTATTAGTAGCAGTAAATTAAAGTTCAAAAGAGTCGTTTGAACTGTAAATACTGTTTTGGCAGTCAACCTTTTTAAACTGGTTCTGCAAGCATTCGCGCCTACTTTTTTAAACAGATTTTTGCAGCTGATTGCGCAACGACATGTTAAGCGATAACCACCATCATCCATTTTCTTTTTCTTGCCACCACTTTTCTAGTAAAGAGAATGTGATTCATAATTATAACTGGCAAACGAGTTTTGGATGCTAACTGTGTGAACAGTCAGCTTTGTGTGCTACAATGCAGCTAGCTCGCAGCACCACAAACCTCACTCACTTCCACTGCACGCCTTCCGGCAGTGTGCGAGAATGAACGGTGATGCAACTGCTCACAGAGGAACTCGTCCCTTTCCTAGCGGTTATCGTCGATTATTATTGGTGATCCAGCCTGCAGCACCTCAAGCAGGCTCACGTTTATCGGATTACTGCTGCTACTACTGCTGCGCGGCGCTGGCAACAAATAGTTTCGGACACATTAAGGTTAATGGTGCAATTGCTCTTTTTGGCTCATTGAACCTGTCTTCTCCTCTTTCTCTTCAGTCCTACAGTGCCCCTTTTGTATGCGGTGAAACAAATGCATTCTATAGTTGACGCTAACTAAATACTTCACAGCAAATTGATATCACTTGCATATTAGCCCTTAAAGACGGTAAACTTGCTTGTAAACTTACCTGCAGGCAGGTTAATCGCCTTGATTGACCGTTTTTCTCATTGCATACATTATCTGAATTTTCTAATTATTAGCACGCCTGCTTGGCTGTTTAACCACTGGCAATCTTGCAGTAAAAAAATTTGCAAGTGCTGTTTTTATATTAAGATGAACTTACTTTGAAAAACAACAACAGTTATAAAATGACACAAGATTATTTTAACAATCAATAAAAAACTAACACTTGTAAACTAAACATGTTAATAATGACAATGTGTTTAGAAGTAAAAACCAGCGCCTAGTGTTACCATAAAGCATGCACACCAGAGGACGCCATCGCTCTTATGATTTGCTTTAATTCGAAATTCTCGCAGCAAGACTTCCTTCAATGTTCGGCTGGGGAGTTTTTACCAGGTCAATGTTCAGCAATATGTGATGCTGCATCATCAGCAACTCCAAAGAAATAGTTCGCAGTGTTTCGCGCAAAATGCGAAAGTTGGCTCGCTCAAAGTGAACATAGGCCAGGCGAACATCTTGCACTTGTCGATAGCTGTAGATGTACTCTAGAAAATTGAGGCGGTTGTAGCTGTCCGAAAAAAGTCCATCCGAAAGTCGGAAGTTGTCTACGATGTTGGTGACAAACTCAATCCAGCTATTTACTGTTTGTTGCACCAACTCGCCGGTGGTGTGCACGTCGTCCACTGGTGGTGAGCGAAGGTCAATGCCAAGATGTAGGCTCCAAAGTTTACTGCTCAATGTAGTCAACACTGGATCTACTTTTTCATATAATTTTGTCATGATGACGTTTTCTGGGAATACGCCCGTGGGCAAGTATATTGCAGATTCGTAGTATTTTGACGCCTCAAAGGGATCTTCAGAGCGGGTTTGGCTGTAAAAATAGAGGTTTTCTAACTTTTGAATTTCTTGGTCACTGCTTGGAATGGGCAGAAAGTGATCCAGATGAGACAACATTGTGGAAACCATTTTGTTTTCCACTTCGACATTGAGTTCGTGATAAATAAATTTTTGCAACTCAAAAATCACCACGGGAATGTACGAGTTGAGTATTTCATCAAAAGGTTCTATATGTTTAGCAAACATCTGGACTACAGAATTGTAGTTTACAATTGCTTTATTGGCATTTTCTTTATGATGCTTAAAAAGAAACTTTTTTAAACGTTGTGAAGGTTTTTGTGGAAGAGTTGCCGAGTTATTTTCAAAAACGTTTGAAATTGAGTTGATAGATTGATCTTTACATTTTTCATAAATATTCATTGTCGATGACTAGACAAAAAAATAATTCTCTATATATATAAAAAATTATAAAATTCCAAATTAGTTCGTTCTTGTTTTAAAAATTTGTTCCATTTTTAATGAGTTTCAACTCAACCTAAAGTCAAAACTTAATTAAAAGAGGCTATTTTTAGTGACAAAAAACATTATTTTGAAAATTTTTTGTGAGAATTTTTTTCAAATATAGTGTCAAGGCAGTTTCAGTTACTGAAATTCCTAAGAATTGAAATGGATGCTTATCTTTTTTGCAATATGGTTACATGTCAAGACATTATTACTATAATTTCAATGTTTTTATTGGTAACTGAACCTTGACGACTATCAACTTGTTTGTGCTTGTGTAAACAAGTTGTATTTTTGCCAAATTAATTTGCATTCTTTTGGTTTATAAAAAAGAGAACTTTTAATAAAATTGACAACAATGAACAGCAAAAAAATTTGTTTTTATAAATAAATATTTCTTAACTTTTTATTAAATAAAACAGTTAATTAACTAAACTAATAATAAGTATTTTACCAAACATATCGCCTTATTGATTTATGTTTGCACTGTACGTTCAGCCATAGGCATTTAACCGTTTTGACAAAATGAGTTTAATAAATCTTACAAAAAATAAATGTATAGAAATAGATAGCCTAACTACACATTTAAACAAAATAAATCCTAACTATGCTTTTTCGTTTTACATTTTACTTATATTTTTACCAAGAACAAGCAAATTTTTCAAAGTAAATTTATACCATCATCCGAGCAAAGAACTCATTTTCATGTTGCCGTCGCACTTCATTTGCCAGTCTTTGCGCGCGTTAAGCATTTTTGTCGTCTGGTCAGTTCCCAAGTTGATGATCATCATCATTCTCCTGTGCACCATCATTTCTCTACTAGCTCTAAAATCTACTTTAGCTGACTAATGATTCAACCGTCTGTTATGTCCATTGATTTTAGTTTCTTATTTGTTTATGCAATCGACCGAGCCAGTGATTTGCATTTATATCACTATTGGCAAACGGTTGACCATTTACTTCCACTGTTTAGTAACAATGATAGTGTTTAGTTGAAGTTACTAAAAATAAATTTTTTCAATTTTTAATTTAAATATTAAAACAAGTACAAATCTTGTTTAAGTTTAATTTAATTTATTTTTTCAATTTTTAATTCAAAACCATTACACAAAAGTAATACTTGATGAATTGAATTGTCTATTAAAATTTTTTGATTAACATTTAAAAAATACAAAAAGTTTTCCGTTTTTAACCTGTTCAATTTAAAAAACAATTTCACACATTATTAAGTGATTTTGCTTTTATCATATTTTGTACAATTCAATAAATTATACCACAAACGTTAAATTTAAAGATCATTATTGATTTGGCTGCCTTTTTGGCATTCACTTAGTTAATAGAAAATGTTTCATCAATTGCCAATTTGTCTTCTGATTTAAATCAACATTAAGGTTTTAGTTAGTGCATTTCTCAGTATTTGTTTTTTATACTAAATTTGCATAAAAAATGGGCACAGCAAATCAATCTGAGTGAGCAAAGGAATTGCCTTTTGGCATGATCCCATTTGCCGTCCTCAAGTGGTTCTTACTATGCTTTACCTAGTATGCTTTAGAAATCTTGTTGTATCTGCTGGCCAGGCAAAATTGTCCTACGTAATGTGTTTTGCCTGCATTGGACAATGGTGTGAATAAAGTGCTCTCATAAAGAATAATATATGGCAATTTGGATGCTTTTGTTTTTGATGATCGGTGATTGTGGGTGCTCTTAAATGGGCACTTTCAAAAAACGGCAATGTAAATTTGACTAGTATTAAGACTGCAATTCCGTTCTTTCGACCAATTGTTTTTGTGGTTTTCAATGCATCAATCCTTAATTGGGCAAATTTGCATAAATTAAAAAAAATTTACTAGAGTGAAACACTTTTTACTGCTAAAAAGATAAACTTATGTCGTCTTAAACAACGTTAAAAATGTAAAAAAAGTATTTTTACAAAAATGGTTTATCTAAAATACAAATTTTGTTCAGTTTGTTATTTGTAATTGAATAATACTGCCACTAGTACTTGATAAAATCTGTTTAGTAGTAGTTGCTTAGCAAGTATTGTGTTTTGATGCATCATTATTTTAATTTATCTATACTGTTTGGCAAACTTAAAAACTGCATTATGCAACAGATTTTCACAATATATATTTTAACAACAAACATTCAAATTTTGAATCAACAGAGTTGTTTTACAAATACGTAGGTGAATCAATATAAAAAATTTAATTTTTTATTTATAATGTGCATGAGTTTAACTTTAAAAAAAATTTTTTAGTAAATAAAAAGTTTTTTAAAATAATTTGATTATAAAAAATTTAATACGTTTTCTAAAGTGTTGCATCAAACAAATTAATAAAAAACAATAATTATATTAAGAGTAAAATTAATTTTAATTTTGTTAATATTTTTTACTTATTTCTAACAGTTAATCAGGACAAACCATCTGCCTGATAATGCAAAATGTTTGCTTACCTGCATTGATTTAAAAATGCATAATTTATTGAAAAAATAAAAAATATCAAGAGTTAAAACTGTTTGATGTGGTTTAAAAATTTTTGTTTTTTATTGTAAATAGTAAATAAAAACAAAAAAGTGGTAAAAAATATTGCTGAAAAAGAGTCAGGCAAACTTCAGAATGGATATTTCAGGGCATAGTCTGTCAGCCGCTTAATGCGTCGCTCTGCCTCCCGAATGTGCTTAGGTTTTAAAGGGCCAGTTTCGTTCTTTTCTTCCATGAAATCTAAACCTAGTGTAAAAACAAAAGTTAAAGATCATAGTAAAAAATACATAGTTATACCTGCTTCAACAATCTGGCCAACATAGACCTTGGCAATGCCGGCCAAAGCCACTGCAAAGCGTTCACTGATTGTCAGGTTTAGAGTGTCCTTAATCACCTGGAAGAAGTAAATCTGTCAGTGTTGTAATTACTAGAGCAAATCCCAGACAACCGTTAGCCAAAAAAGCCACTGATGCATTTAGGAAAAACAACTTGTACAACAACAATCACCAATTTATGTCAGAGCCACAAAAAGCACATATTACAATTTTTTAAACATGGCAATTGCAAAAAATTGTTTGTTTGTTTTTTGCAAAAAACTTCTAAACAACATGTACAAAATTAAAACACAATATGCACTAAAACTGATTATTAAGTTTTCTAAACAAGCTAATTTGAAAAATATTTGGACGACAACTATAACTCATGTTGGGAAACTAAATGAAACATTAACTGTAAAGGTTCCACAATATTATTTATAGAGTAACTTACCTTACGAATTAAATTTTTTGAAAATTTAGAACGACGAAACACTTCATAACGTTCAAGTTGTTCTTTAGAAAAGTGTGACACCAAAAACCTAAAAACAAAAATAAAAGTAAAAAATGATTAGTATTGTGTAATCAGAAAACCAATTAGCCTTAATATAAAATGTTAATTTAAAATTTTTACTAATAAACGCAAGACTAATTTATTACAAAACAATTATTATTTGACACTAATTGGCATAATTTTTTTATTAAAGCTACAAAAACAATGGTCAAATGACAAGTTCATTCACCAGCTTTGTTTGGTGACTAAACGCGCTATAAGATAATTAAATTGAGGCACCAATATTAAGGTAAAACTTATTTTTTGTAGCGGCAGTGAAACACGCATATAAGGGGTGATAATTATAATTAAATGATAAAGTTAGAAGTAGCCATATTTTATTATAATTACAATCTGTCAAAAAATGTGCTATTAACTATTTTTTCATCTCCAGCTTTGAACATTTAATTACTTTAAATTACAAAGTTTGCTGAAATTTTGCCATATAGAATCACTTTGTTGTTGATGCAGTTTTGAAAAAGTAAAAACAATGTCTCTACTTCAACATGCATTAATGGCAAGCATCTTAAGAATGTCAGATTGTAATTTTCTCAAGTGATTTTCTATTGTCGCAAGTCTTGTTATACTTTTAAGGGGGGACACCGCGCACTTTTTAACTGCTTTTTTTAATTTTGATTTTGGGGTGGCTATGATGTTCATGAAGAATGTACTTAATAAGGATTGTTAAAAATTTCATGTAGAACAGTTTTGTGTTGATACTATGGTCATCCGATGAGTGGGTCGCTGTCGGTAACGACACTAATATTCTGACCATTTAGGTTCCATTATCTTCAAAACGAGTAATATAAAAAAATTGATTAAGGTGTCAAATGAAAGGTGACTAAATTATCTAGATTTTGTCAGACTCAATATATTTTTAAGTAGTTTGACGTCTTAGATAATGATTTTTGAATGATGGTAAAAGACGAAAAACTTTGAAAACTGACTTAACATAGAGTTTGTGCATATTTCAAATATTTTTTAAATATACAACAAAACTGAAATTTAAAAATCCGAGTCAGACAAAATCTAGATAATTTTGTCATCTTTCATTTGACACCTCGATCATTTTTGTGGTATTACCCGTTTTGAAGATAATGGAACCTGCGTGATTCAAGATCTTGCTAAAAAAAAGTCGTTGACTTGAAAAGAAAACCAAAAATTCGAAAAAAAATTGATGTGTGTGCGTTGTCCCCCCTTAACTTTTCAAAAAACAACTGCTGGCAACTGTGGTAATAGTAATTGACTAAAGTTATCTAATATTTTTAGGCTAATTGAAAACTTCCTAATTGATAAATGCGGAAAATGCCAACGGCGAAATAACATTTTCTATGTGTCTGCTTAGCATTGCCTAAAAACAAAAGACTTTTGCAACTTTATTGCCCTGTTAGAAAACATTTTTTGGCAAAAAGTGTTTTTTCACAATAAAGTTTCTTAGTGATCAGCTAGCAATAAATCAACAAAAAATAAAATAAAAAATGTCAACTTACATCATTTTTTGACGGTCATCTTCATCCTGAGACGTCAGTTTAATTGACTTGTTCTTGTTCTCGCTTTTGTTTTTGAAACTGTTTTTTTCTAACGATGCTTCACCAGCTACTGAAGGATTGTCATCAATTTGCAGCTGATCATCAGTTCCAATGGTTGTCGATGATGGATGACAATAGGACGACCCGTTTTGACTGCCAGAGATCATTCTTGAAGATGCATCTTTTTTCTTTTTAGCGCTCTTTGCTTGTTTTTTATCACAAAATTTCCGTTTGCTAGAATGAGTAGTACTTGAAGGAGTTGGCGCCATTGAGTTTTTACTCTTAATAATATAAATTAGATGTTTTGTTAACAAGTCAGCAAAAGAAAAAAATAAAAACAACTGTTATTAAAGTTGCAGTTGTAAACAAAAAACTGATTGAAAAAACTTTTTTACTGTTATGTGCTGTAAGTGCCTACCTCAAGGTCCTTAACTAACCTTTTAGTTTTGTACGTTGACAAAGCCTGGGAATTTAATGTTAACCAACTAGAGGCAAACTTTACTTTTGTTGCACTTACCGCAAAAAAGAGCTTGACGGGTGTGTTTTTGCCACTCAATGACTGATTTCAATTGTATTACATAACAATAGTTGCCAGTTAAAACTGTGAGTTGTTATTCTTTTCTAAAGCTGGTCACTGAAGTGTGACTTTCAGCTATAAAAAACAAATTGATTTGCAAGTTTGGATGACGAGGCAAACTACTAATTTTTGTACTTAAAATAACATTACCCAACCACAAAAAATTCGATTAAAAGAAAAAGTTCGCTTTTAAACCTCTTGCTCTATCAACTTTTAGAACTTTTTTGATTAAGAAAAATATATTTAGATTATTCAATTTTGTTGACCCGTTTTTTGAACTTGTTTTAAAAATTTTGCTAAAAAAATAAACGTTTTTTAAACAGGTTGAAAAGTGCTGGCAAGCCAGAACTTCAGCGAGATTTTTT